GGGGGGAGAGGAGACACATCACCCCCTTCTCCAGCCACCCAGGAGCCCCAAACCCCAGGAACCAGCTGGAGAGATGGGACCAGGGATCAGAGGGGCTGGGCAGGACCCCAATGTTTCAGCACGTCCTGGAGGCCCTGGAGAGACACAGGGCTCTTCTGGGGACAGCCAACAGCCAGGGCAGGGCCCCGTTTGGTACAGGACACCAGGGGATGCTGCTGGTCCCACTGTGGAGGGCAGCGTGTGGTACCCAGGGACTGGGCACACAGCTTGGGGGATGCCACCCCCGGACCCCCATGGCCACTGCTGGCCTCGCACCTCTTGTCCTTGATGATAAGGTTTGAAACGAAGTCCTTGGCCTCGTTGGAGACACTCTCAAAGGTCTCCTCATCGAAGTACCAGTTGGCAGCCAGGACATTGTTGAGCGTCTCAGTGTCATTATCACCCAGGAAGGGGGAGAGACCGCTGAGCCTGGGGGTGCAGGAGATGAGAATATGAGTCCCCCCAGGCTACAACACCTTCCAGACCCCCAGAATGAGCCAGTCTGGCCAAGGGCTGCCCCAAGCAGCGATGCAGGGTGATGGTGTGTAGCTGCAGGTACTGTACTCCTGCCTGCAGCTGTGGGCACAGACCCCAGCCCCACATGCCCATCTCCCCATCCATCACCCACCAGCACCCCATCAAGCAGCCAGGTGCCTGGGGTGCATGTACAGCCTGGGGACAGCTCTGTTCCCCAGCATGGCTCTGGCAGCCCCGCTCAGCCCTGACGTACAGCATGTAGGTGATGACGCCCATGCTCCACATGTCTGTGGTGTAGGAGACCTGCTCGTAGTTGACCACCTCCGGAGAGAGGAATTCAGGGGTGCCGAAGTTCACCTTCAGCTTCTCCTGGGGGTTGTACCTGCTCCAGGGAGGGGCGAGTCAGCAGGAGGAGGACAGGCTGCTCCTCCGAACCACTACTGCCCTCCCCAGTCCTCCTATGCCAGGGGCAGCTGGGGCCAGCAGGTATGGCCAAAACCAGAACCCAGCGTGGGTCCCAGCACCCCAAGGGCACACGGGGCTCAAGGGTGTGAAGGAGACAGGGAGGAGGGATGGAGCTGACCTTCGAGCCAGCCCAAAGTCGATGATCTTCACCATGTGCCCGGTGGCAGCAACACAGAGGATGTTCTCGGGCTGTGGGGACAGAGACCATTGCCCCACTGCTGAGAGGGGACATGTCCCCAGCGCACGGGTCTGGCAGCCCAGGGGTCCTGTGACTGACCCGTGCCAGAGTGATACCAACATGTGGGCATCCTTCTGGTGTCAGGGACACACGAGCACAGCAGGGCTCAGTGCAGCACACAGCGCTCCCTGCTTCAGGGGCTGCAAACACCCACTGCCCCCCATGGCCCTGCTGTCACCCCCCAGCCCTGCACCTTGAGGTCGAGGTGGAGGACACGCATGTGGTGCATGAAGCGGATGCCCTCGCAGATCTGCCGCACGAACACCATGCAGTCCACCTCGGTCAGGTGGTAGTCGTCATCGATGATCCGCTCGAAGAGCTCACCACCCTCCACACTGCATGGGGACAGAGAGCGGGGTCACCTGGGGTCCCCTGCCCACCCCCTCCATGGAGATGTTAGTGTAGAAGGAGGCTACCCCAGGACACCCAGGCTCCCCGAGGTTCATAGAGCTACATGGGAAGGACCTGCGACACCTCTACCCTCAGTGCAACCACCTCCAGATGGGAGATGCTGACCCAGCGAGGCAGAGCCTGAGATTGCCTCCAGGCCTGAAGTGAGCCAAGGAGGTGCCCAAGAGGGGACAGGCAAGGTGGGGGACATTCCCTGGGGCCAACCCCTTCTGCTTGTCAGGGTCCAGCACATTTGCTCCATCTCTGGAGTATCCTTGTGACGGTGCCCCTCACCCAGGCGTCAGGTCTCTCACAGCACTGTCCCAGCACTCACAACTCCATGAAGAGGACGATCTCCCGCGGTGTCTCGATGGCATCATAGAGCTGGATGAGGTTGCGGTGGTTCAGCTGGTTCATCACGTCGATCTCCAGCAGCACCATCTCCTGCAGAAGAGCCCCATGGTGGTCAGTCCTGGCCACCAGCACTGGGACAGGCTGTGCCACATCACTAGGGACACACAGGGCACAACACTGACACCCACCATCTCGGCCATGCCACTTCCTGGTGGCACCACGGCCAGCCAGGAGGAGCCCCCACCTCGGCATCAGACAAACCTTGTCCTTGGCACCCTGCTTCCGGATCACTTTGGCCGCCAGCTTGAGCCCCGTCTGCTTCTCCGTGCACGTGTGGACTTCACCGAACTTGCCCCTGGGGAGGGAGACAGGGAGAGCTGCCATCACCATCAGCCACCCAGGCTGCTGGGGACCCCCACCCTGC